GGGGGCGGCCTGGGAGGCGGCGGAGGTGATGGAGGGGAGGGTGGGGGGGTCGGTGGCGAGGGCGGGGGGTAGGCGTCGTAATAGATGCCCGAGTACTCCTCCAGCTGGCGCCCGTACCGCGCCCCGTCCCGCCCATCGCCCTGCACGTACAGCTCGGACGCCATGGCACGCAGCGCGGCGGCCTCTGCCTGGCGCGCGGCGGCCTGCACCGCAAGGGGCGTTGAAGAGCGCAGTGAGGTTGGAGGACGAGGTTCTTCTTGCAAGCCAGGGACAAGCCAGTGCCAGATCAATCAAAGCGGCCCACCTGTGCGCCTGCGCTGCGCAGGCGTCGGCGGCGGCGCGGCTTGGCGGCGTCCTCTCCCGCCGCTGCCGCCGACATGAGCAGGGTCCCCAGCGCCAACCCCGCCGCCACCAGGCGCGCTGAGCCACGCATCATGCGCATGCTCAGGCGGTCAGGCGGAGCCTGCGCGGAGCCTGCGCGTTGGGTTCCAGCTTCCGCCAATAATGTTGATCAAGCGGCGATCAAGTGAGGATCGTGCTCCGCGCGACTCTTTCTGCTGAGTATTGCAGCCTTCCAGGGCACCATAGCTCCAATTGAGGGCATGGAGGAGCTGAACCGACAAGAAAGCTGGGTGCCCCGCTCCCTCCCGGCTGGTCGTGTTGAGGGAGCTCGAGGAGGTCCAGCAGTCTACTTGCAGCGATCGGGCCGTCAATTAGCGTCTGTTACACACGCGCCGCGACCCCGCACCGGTCAAACACCCGGCCCTCTGCACGGGCCTCCCGTGCCGGCCTCCCCCAGCCCCTGCAAGCTCATCCTCCGCCTGAGCAGCGATGATCGCGGTCCTGGCGGGCGCCGTGCTGGGCCCCTTCACCGCCGTGTATGCTGTGGGGCCGGTGGCGGCGGTGCTCTTCCTGCCGCTGCTGGCGGTGCAGCTGGGCGTGACGCTGGGCCTGGGCGTGGTGCCGGGCTCCTTCACCATCCCAGACAAGGTCACGGGTGCGGTGCTGCCCCGGCAAACACGCTGGCCGCTCGCAGCGTTGCTTGCGCATGCGCCTGCGATACCCACACGCCAACAACCCCTTGCCTGCCTGCCCCCCGTCCCCTGCAGCCGGCCTCACCGCCGGCCTGCTGTCACTCTACTTCCTCCTCCTCATGCACACCACCCTGTGGAACAAGCTGGAGGCCTACTTCTGCAACACACCCTGGCTCAGGTGCACGCCCCCGCCCGCCTGCGCACGCCCTGGCGGAGTGCGCTGCCTCAGGCTGCGCTCGGCTGCTGGCTGGCGCCCTCCAGCCCTGCTCCCTCCCCAGCCGGTAGCAGGCCTGCTGACTATCGTGTGCCCCTGAATCATCGTGTGCGTTGCATGAGCTGCTGCCGCAGGCACACCGGCGAGCTGCAGGCGGTGGAGGGCACCCGCAAGTACGCCACACGCTGCCCCTTCACAGGTGTGCGGCGCTCCACGCCCCGCCATGCGTCTCGCAAACACTACAGACCAGCCGTGCTGCTCAGCCCCCGCCACCAGCGGCTCGCCTGCCACGCGCCCTCACCGCTCCCGGCCCCTGCCCCCCGCTCCCAGGCCACCGCCCCACCATGCGCTGCCCCAGCTGCGAGGCCCGCGTGCACGACTCCGCTTTCCACAAGTCGGACCGCCTGGTCGCGTGAGCGCCGCCGCGGCGCTGCGCGCGCTCCCGCCGCCCGCCGCCAGCTGCCGCTGTGCTCGGCTGCGCACACGTGTGGCGCTGTGTGCCATGCCTGCCTGCTTTGCTGGGGCGCCGCCCTCCCTGGGCTGGGAGGTGGGCAGGCACACCAGGGCTCTGCCCCCTCCTGCTTGCCCCTACCCCTAGTGCAGCTGGTTTGTGGGCGAGACTGTGCTGCGGTGGGACGCCGCCAAGCTGTGCACCGATGCAGGGGAGGGCAACGTGAAGAGGGTGAGGGGCTGGCGGGCGCCTGCCGCGGGTTCTGGCCGCCACCTGCATGCGTAAACGTCCTGCTGCTGCAGCATGCAGCATGCCGGCAGCAGGGTGCACGTTGAAGGGAGGTCCCCACCCCCCGTCGTGGCCGCCTGCAGGCCCGGCAGCGGCTGGACCAGTGCCTCGACTTCCGCGGCAACACGCTGTTTGCCAGCGTCAGCGGTGAGCTCTCTGCCTGCGCCCAGCTCCCTGGGGGGTGGCTGGGCCCTGCACTTGGCATGGCAAGCAACCTGCAGGCCCTGCCCTGCCCCTCTCACTCTCACCCCTGCCCGCCGGCCCCGCTGCCGCCGGCTGTCCCCGCCTGGTGCAGCCTGCTGCGTGGGGTGCGCCACCTGGCAGCGGTGCTTCAACCTGCTGCCCCGCATGTCCCTCAGCCTCGCCATGACCTCCCTCTTCTTCGTCTTCGTCCCCTGGGCCTTTGCATCCTTCCTCAGCGGCGGCAGCAGCACCAGCGGCCAGAGCATCGGCGGCGGCGGCGGTGCGCTGTCCGCGCATGCGGGCGCCGGCAATGCTCGCTGTGCCGGCCGCCAAGCGCATGCTGCCACGCACGCATGGCGCCCTGTGCATGCTCAGCGCTGCCGTCAAGTGCATTGCAGCACAACTTCCATGCCGCCCCATGTCCCTCCCACGGCGCCCCTGACGCCGCCCTCTGCCCTGCAGCCAAGGCCATCCATGTGACGTGCGACGTGCTGGGGGTGCTGTTTGCCCAGGCCGCGCTGGTGGTGCAGGTGCATGCTGTGCTGAGGGCAAACGAGTTCCTGGCAAAGTACAGGTGCGTGCGTGAGGCGGCAGCGGGGAGGGGCGGCTGTGGTGGGTGTGGGAGCGCCGACTCGAAGGTGCCGCCCCTGGGCCGCACCCCTGAACCAGAGGCGCACCCTGCAACGCCTGCCGGCGTGGGATTCTGTGCGGCGCCTGCAGGCCCATGGTGCCGTCCCTCAAGCCGCTGTTCCAGCCCCCCAAGTGGCGCCTGGTGCAGCACATCATGCACGCGCCCTGGGAGCAGGCAATCTGATGCGGGGGCAACGCGGGGCTGCGGCTGGTGGCACCTGCTCCTACCTGCTCCTGCAGGACAGCTGGCATCGTTGCCCTGCCTTGAGCGCAACACCATGATGGGCTGGTTCGCACGGCAGCCTGCTGGGCTGTGCCACCCACGAGAGCAGCCGAAGGAAAGGATGGGGTCAGGCGTCCACCTCTTCTATGCACTGCTGCCTCATAAATCCCATTGCTGCACCTGCTGTGGTCTCCTGCTTTGCAACGCGCACTGCACTCTTTGCCCCTGCCTGTTCACCAGTATTGAGTTACGGTAGCCAGGCAGTCCATACGACCACGACAGGAAAAAAAAGCGCGCAAAGCATCATCACACGGCCATCGTAGGGGGCCGCATGCACAGTGTTGGTTAGAGGGGCAATGAATCATGAGAGATCATCAGCATGCAGGGACACGCAGAAGCCCGAGAGCTACAGAGGCAGACGAGAGGCAGGATGCATTGGGGGCGACTGCTGCTGGTAAACAGGGGTGGTGGGGGCGCCCATGGCAGAGGGCAGCTGGGGAGCTGGCCGGGGCCTGGTCACGCGATCCAGGCAACGTGTGAGGCGAGGGTGTGCGTGAAGCAAGAAAAGTTACCGGTTGCCACGGGGGGAAGGAAGAGATACCGCATGCACGCTAGAGGTGCGAGAATACGCAAGGGGTTGGGGGCATTCAAGAAAGGGGCACGTTTCGGCAGCGGAGGGTCATGCGCTCAGCATATGATACAATGGCGGCGGCACCGCAGGACCCATACACGCGCGCGCCGCAACCGCACTCATCACGGCACAACAGAAGGTAGAGGAGTGGAAGAGCAAGAGCTAGGAGCCAGGAAGCGGTGCAGCACAGGCATGATGCTGGCATTCCTGGTGATACGGAAAGAAGTGGCGAGAGTTCTGATGAGCTGGGCGAGGCCGCAGGCGCAGGAGGCCGCGTGCGGCGCGCCTCTGGCTGCCCACACGCCCCCAGCCGCGAGCGGGGGCCGCGCCCCTCAGCCCCCAAACTTCCACTTGCCGCTCAGGGCTCGCAGGATGGACTGCTGCTGCGGGTCGTGCAGGGTGCCGCCCACGGGGTGCGCCTCCAGCCCGCCCTCGCCGCCGCCCTCGCCGCCGGCGGGCGAGCCGTACAGCGCGTCGTAGCTGCCCGCGCCGGCGGCCGCCATCGCCTGCTGCTGCACGCTGGTGCCCATGAGGTGCGCCTTCACCACATCGTAGATCGCCTTCTTGTCGCGCTCGCCGCTCACGGGCTGGCCGTCTGCGGCGGGGCGCGGCGGGGCGCGGCGGGGTGGGCGGCGGCGCGCGGAGCTGGCGGCGCGGGGGCTGTGCACGGGGAGGGGACTGGGGCTGGTGGCCGGGCTGTCCGTCACTGCCAGCAACTGCTTTGCAGGGTGCCATGCCCGCCCCACCGCGCCCCTCCCGCGCCCTACCGCCCACTCACTGGGCATGTGGATGAGGAAGCGGTGCATCTCCTGGGCCACGGGGCCACTGATCAGGGGGCAGCCGTAGGGGTCCACCTCGGGCCGCTCAATGTACACTGCAGGGGGGCGGGCAGCAGGCGGGGGGCGGGCGGCGAGCGGTGCGGTTCCGGTGGCGCGTGTGGGGTTGCGGACGGGGGCTGGCCCTGGCTGGCTGAGGATCGCAGGGCTGCTGCCGAGGCGCGCGACGGGTGCAGGCAGGCGGGGAGGGGGGTGCAGAGCAGGGCGGCAGCGCACCGTCGGCCATGAACACGCCCACGCCTGCGGCGCTGAGGCCTTGCGTGACGTCAAAGGTCACGCGCGGCCGCCCACGCCCGCCGCTGTCTGCAGGGCGCGGCACGCCGCGGGCGCACAGCAGCAGCGCGCTGGGTCGAGCAGCACACACAAGCACGCTCGCCTCAGCACGCAGGCCGCCGCCTCCAGCCCCGCCGCGCCCCTCGCCGCCGCCAGAGGGCTGCTCACCGCGCATGCGTGCCTGCCACGTGCCGTGCACGCCCCCCACGTCCCCCACCCACCTATGTTTGCGGTGATGGTCAGCTCGGTGCACGAGGCGTCGTACGCGTCCTTGATGTCGATGCGCACCGGCAGCGCCACCGCCATCCTCACCCGCTCCACCAGCTCCTGCAGCAGCTCGCTGCGGCAAGGGGCGGCAAGGGGGCGGCAAGGGGGCACCAGGGGGTGGGTGGGCAGGCAGCTGGCCAGCATGGGCAGGCTGCCGGCCGGCATCGCACCCCCCACCCCCTCCCCGCCAGCGAGGCCGCCAGCTGGCGCGCGCGGCCACCCCACGCACGTGTCTGTGATGCGCGTGCCCTCGGCGTCCTGCACAAACAGGTCCACCTCGCACATCCCATCCTCATACACCTCAATCTTGCCGTACGCCACGCTGCAAGGGGGCGAAGTGGCGCGCGGGGTGGGCGAAGTGGCGCATGACGCAGCGGCGGAGCCACGCGCTTGGGGGGGGCAGGAGCAGCGACAGGCGCCTTGAGCCTGCCCAGCCTGCCGGCCTGCCAATGGTCGCGCGCGCGCCCGGCAGCCGCGCACCGCAGGTCGATGTCCTTGAGGGAGCGGAACAGGTCGTACAGCAGGCCCTTGCGGTCGCGGCAGCGCAGCGTCAGCAGCGAGTGCGCCGGCGATGTCTCGTTGTCCACGCTGACTTCCACCTCTGCGGGGGGGGGCGCGTACGGCAGCGCAGCAGGCGATCGCCAGGCCATGGGACAGGCGGACAGGGCGAGGCGGCAGGCTTGCGGCAGAAGCAGGCATGCATGGTGCCTTGCAGGGCAGGGAGTGGAGGGGGCGGCAGCGGAGGGAGCGCCGGCGCCGCGCCCACCTGCTTGCCGCTCCGAAAAAGTGTCCTTGGCCCCCTCCTGGCTGCCGATCTGCCCCAGGTTCTTCTTGCTGCCCACGATGCGGCGCAGGTTGGAGGCTGCGGCGAGCGGCAGGCAGGGCGCGTGTTGATGCAGGGCCCATGCAACAGACCGCCTCAAGCTCGGCGGATCGGCCCGCCAGCAAGCAAGCAGGGGCCCCAGTTGGAGCTGCGGCGCGGCTCACTGGAGGTGACATCCTTGCACGCCTTGCGCCCCAGCGCAGCGCTGGTGGTGGCGCCCGCGGCCAGGCTGTCCAGCGGCGCGGGTGTGATGGTGCAGTCTGCGGCAGGCGTGGCAGGGGGAGGGGCGGCTGGCAGGCAGGCTGGCGGGAGCAGGCCTGCTGCGGCGGCACACGAGGCACCAAAGACGCAGGCAAGCATGCGCTGCCTCGTGCCCGCCTCCTGCTCACCCGTGTCGGGGCCCAGGGCACCCTTCACGCGGTCGCACACCTCCAGCACCCTGCACGCACAGCACAGCGGCAAACAAGCCTGCTCAGCTGCTGAGCAGGTGCCTGGGGTGGGGTGTACACATCCGGAGGAAGGCGTCAGCCCAACCAGGCAGCCAAACGCCTAGCCAGCCAGCCGCTGCGCCACGGCGGCCGCACAGGAGGACGCGCACCTGTGGTTCTCAGGCAGCTCATTTCTATTGTCGTAGACCCAGAACAAGCTGCAAGGCACGGCGAGTAGAAACGACTCAGCGAGGCTCTCACCCGTCACCTGCAAGAGGGCGCGGCTTCATATGCAGGGCCGCAGGGCGACTGACTCACTCGGCGACCTTGCCGTTGGGGCTGGTGGTGATGTGGGCCTTGAACACGGTGGTGTCGCTCTCCCACAGGGCGTGAGATAGCGAGTGCAGCATGCCGTGGCGGTCGTACCCAGCCACCTGCGCAGCCAAGCGGAGAGCAGGGGTGTGGTGATGGCGAGAGGCTGCCCTGCCCTGCACAGCACCGGGTCTGGCGGGGCTTCGCAAGCAGCAGCCCATGCACGACCGCGCCGCTCCCGTCGACCAGCCGCTGGCTTGCCTGCAGCAGGAACGCCTGCTGCTCCTTGGGCACCGAGCGCCAGCGCCACAGCTGCTGCAGCGTGTCTGTGCCGCTTGGGCAGATGGCCTCCAGCCTCGACTTGAGCAGCTGCCACCGCGGCGGCACGCCTGCAGGCCAGGCGGGGAGCCAGGCAGGCACTGGCGGCGCGGAGCAGCAGCTCAGGACTTGTGGAGTGTGGGTGGGGTGCAGCATGCGCTTCCTGCCCTCGCTACGCCAACTTAAATCCTTCGCTGCAACACGAGCTGGTTTGGTCCTGCCAGGAGCGCCTGCTCCCATGCCAGCCAGCAGCGGCCGCCCCGCCCGCCGCTCACCGGAGCTGAGGCAGACTTTGAAGATGATGAAGCACCACTTGCCGTCGGTGGAGATGTCTCCCTTGAGGATGCGCAGCCCAAAGTCCAGCAGCATGCGCGCAATGTCCACGCCCAGGCCCGTGGCATCCGGGCAGCTGCAGGGCAGGACGGGGCGGCGGCGGGCGGGTGCAGGGCAGCAGGTGAGGTTGTTCGGGCATGGCACCGCTGCGCCGCCACTGCCTGGCAGCTGCGCTGGCTGCAGCGTGCCGGTCAGCCCCATGCTGCCACCGCGCCACCGCGCCACCCACCCACCTGATCCTCACTTCCCGCACGCTCAGGTCCTCCTCTGGCAGGCGCCTGCATGGGAGCAGGAAGGCGGTTGGCCACACAGGCTCAAGGTCTGCAGCCCTGCCCCGCCCTGGCTGTCAGCTCAAGTTAAGCAGCACCTGAATCAGCCTGTCAGCTGCAGCATGATAGTACACGCAGTAGGCAAAGACACATGTCGGCGCAATGGCGGCAGCAGCAGCTGCAAGGCCGTGCAGGGCAAACTGCAAGCAGCGACATCGGGCGGCGAGGCAGTTGCCGCGGCACCTGATGGTCACTGTCTCCTCGTCGTAGTCTGTCATGCTGCTGGGCGTATCAAGCTGCTCCACAGTCTGTCAATCTGTCCTCAATACTGCTGGTGCTGGTGCTGCGATTGCTGGTGCTCCCGACGCCGCTGCTGCCGCCCACCCGACGTCCTGCGCGGGTGGTGGTGGGTGCTGAACCCGGCTCGCAGCGCGGGCCCCTGCATACAGCACCGCCTAGGGCAGCACCAGGGGGCTCCGTGGACGCGCCCTCAGCGCCAACCGAGGTGCTGCAGGGCAAGAACTGGGGGTGTGTCAGCGGGGTGTGCTCGCCCGCCCCCCAAATCCAGACAACGGCCCCGCTGCCTGGGGAGCTGTTCAGCGCAGGTGGCGTCGCTCACCGGCAAGCCAGAGTTGGTGAATGACAGCACGTGCACCAGCTGGCCTTTGGCTGGCCTTTGGGGGTTTCAACCGCTGTGCTGCTGCAGTCTAGTCTAGTCGTAAGAACGAGGGGATTATTGATGGGAAGCGTGGGAGTTGCATCTCCCATGCCCCATGCGGGTGCCCCTTCATCAGGCCCAGATGGGCGGCACTCACATCTCTTTGCTCCTCCTCAATTCCAGCTCCACCACCACTCACAGGCAGCAATGCAGGCAGTCCAGGCCGTTGCCGTGCCCACCCCTGTGGTGGCGCTGCCAGCCAGCCAGCGCACCAGTGCTAGCGCTCGGGCGGCCTTCCGCCCCGCCTGCAGGCGGCCCCAGAGGCAGAGGGTGCTCAGGGCTGTGGCCAATGAGGCGGAGAGTGGTGCGTGGGTGGCTGGATGGGTGGATGCTCTCGCACCGCCGCCGCTGTGGCGCCGGCTGCACCAGTCACTTTGGGCTGCCCGCCTGCCTGCCCACCCAACCTGCCTGCCCCTCGCCCACTGCAGTGAGCGCGGCCTCCACCACGCCCAGCGCCCCCCCACCTGGCTTTGTGCCCGCGGTGCGGCCAGAGGACCTCCCCAAGGGTGCGTCGCGGGGGCCCCGCTCGGCGCCGCCTCCCCTCCCGCCTGCCACTGCACTGCTCACCAGCCACCTGCAGCTCAAGCACCTGCCCCTACAAGATACCCGTGTGGTGGCCAGCTGCGTCTGCGCCGGCCGTCGGCGCCCCCATGCATGATCCGCCGCGCCCCGCGCCGCCCCCCACCCACAGGCGTGCGCAAGGAGGTTCGCGTGGCCGGCAAGACGGTGCTGCTGTTCTGGTATCGCAACCAGATCTACGCCATCGAGGCCAGGTGGGGCTCGCCGGCCAGCCAGGTGGCGCCAGGTTTTTGGAGTTTGGTGGGGCAGGGCGGCGCGGGCTGGCAGCAGCCTGGCGCGGCCTGCCCCTACTGCCCCTCCCGCAGCGCACCCAGCAGGCGGCACCCCCGCCCACCCCAGCCCTCACCTCGCATCATCCACCCGCCCGCGCCGCAGGTCTCCCGCCGAGGGCGCCTACAGCGAGGGCTTCATCAAGGCCAAGTTCACTCAGGACTTCTGCATAGGTGGGCCGCCTGGGGTGGCGCCACAGGGGAGGCCGGCGCAGTTAGAGGCGCGCCGAGCGCGGCTCGTGAGCCACACGGCCCGGCTCGCTGCCCCATCCTGTACCCCACCCTCTGCCCGCCTGCCCCCTGCCGACCTGCACCCCCGTGCCTCCCGCCCGGCCCGCCGCCGCGTGCAGAGTGCCCCGGCACCGGCAGCCTGTTCAGCCTCAAGGACGGCAGCATTGTGAGCTGGTACCCCAACAACCCGGTGCTGCGCATGCTCACCCCGCCCTCCACCTGCCGCCCGCTGGAGATCTACCCGGTGCACCTCGGGCAGGACGCCATCTCGGTGGACGTGTCGGGTGGGTGGCCGCGCGGCAGCGCACGTGTGTGTGTGTGTGTGTGTGTGTGTGTGGGTGTGTGGGTGACTCAATGTGGCGGCGGGTGTGGGGCGCATGGCAGGCTGCGGACCGCGCAGGGGTGCGCGTGGCGTTTGGGAGTGTGTGTTGCGTGCATAGTTTGGGGCACGGGATGCGACAGTGGAGCGCTGCACAGGCACGCCGCCCCCGCCTGCTGACCAGCCGCCTCGCCGCTCCGCGCCACGCCCCGCAGGCAGCGCCCTGGGCGGCTCCCCCACCACGCGCGGCGGCTCCGACACCTCTCTGGAGAACAACAACGTGTATGGGCTGGAGCCAAAGGTGTATGTGGAGGGCAGCCCCGTGGCGGAAGGTGAGGCCCGCAGGCCCCGCAGGGGGCGCCGCGCCGAAGCCGGGCTGGGAGGGCTTCCGGGGGATGTGCTGGGTCGGTGGAGCAGGCGCGAGGGCCAGCTGGCGGGCGCATGGGGGCTGGGCTGCTTTGCCGCCGTGCTGACGCGCCCCCGTGGCCTGGCCTGCAGCGGCGAGCGCGGGCGACAGCACCAGCGTAGCCACGGCGGCCACCCTCACCGTGACCATCCTTGCGGTGCTGGGCGTGCTGGTTGGCGGCTCGGCCACCTTCTACTACTTCTTCACTTGACTTGAAACACTGTGAGGCAGCATGGCGCTGCTCCTGCCTGCTTGGGCAGGCTTTTCAGTCCGGACGCATGGCACACCCCAACCAGCCACACTGTTTGTTCGTTTTTTGATTGATAACCACTCTCCGTTTGAACCGCGCTCCATTGTTTCCACTTTCATTGCCACCCCCCCATTTCCCAAACAAAAGGGTTTTGCTGCTCTGTTTTGTTTCGAATTTGCAATTTGTGAAAAGAACACTGGGGAGCTTGTAATCGACAGCATAAGATTACATGAGCTGATGGCACAAGCACGAGGAAAAAGGGAGGTGCTGTCAGGCATGATGGTCGCTCCCTGTTGGCCGCCGACAGCAGCTGCAGCCCCGCACCTGCTGCTTAGGAGGGGCCCCGCCGGGCCCGCTCACTGCGCCGCAGCCGAGATGGCCAGCGGTGTTGCTGGGGCCGCCTCCTCCTCCTCCTCATACTCCTCCTCCGCCACCTTGAAGAAGGTGTAGCTGCAAGGGGGCGGGCAGGGGAGCAGGGCAGGGATGAAGTTAAAAACAGAGATGGTAAAATGCAGGCACGGCAAGGGAACACAACCCCCATGTACGCGGTGCACGCATCCCCACGGCCGCAGCCCTCGGGCCGCCACCGGCGAGCGCCATTCTGCGTCGCGTCGCGGCAGGGCACCCGCTGCCAGCGGCGCCGCGCCTGAGCGTGATGGTGTTGATGCCCGTCATCTTGGGGTCGGTGGCAAACTCGGGGTCGATGTAGAAGAAGACGGGCATGTCGATTTTCTCGCCGGGGCGCAGCTTCTGCTCCTGCACGCAGCCGCCACCGTGGGCGCGCGCGCAGCAGGCAGCGGGCAGCGGGCAGGGTTAGGGTCAGGGAGGGGTGTGCCGCCAGCCGCAGGCGCAGCGTGCCGTGTCCCCCCCCGGCGGCCAGCCTGCCGCGCCCGACTCACGCGCCCGTCCCGGCCCCGCCCCCCTCCCACCCCCCCGCCCCTTCACAAGGCAGCGCCGGGCGCGCACCTCGAAGCAGAAGCACTGGATTTTGTTGAAGTACTGGCCCGCCTGCTGCGGCGCCACGTTGTAGGTGGACACCCCCGTCACCGCCCTGTCGCACCGGTTCTCTGCGGTGTAGAAGGCCAGCGTGGACTGGCCGGGGTGCAGCCTGACGCTGCGCTGCGTGGGCACAAACCTCCAGGGCATGCCGTCTGCGGGGGGCGGGGGTGGTGGGGGGGTGGCAGGAGGTGGGCGCAGGGCGGGGGTGGCGGGGCAGCACCGCCGGTCAAAGACGGGCTGTGGCCGAGGTGCAGAAGGGGGCACGAGGGGCTGGGCCTGTGCTGCGTGGCAGCCGCGCCACACCCGGCCGGCCCTTCCTGCAGCGGCGTCTAGGGCCGCCAGCATGCACCCCCCGCACAGGCGTGCACGCGGGCGGCGGCGCCCCACCCGCCACATCCGAGTTGAAGTAGACGGTGACCTGCCGCGCCGCCGCCGCCGCCTCCACCGCCGCATCCGGGCTCTGCTCCCGCCGCCGGATCTTGTCCTCCACCGCCTTGCCCTCAATCACGGTGCCGCCATACCCGGTGGCCTGACCGCGGGGGACAGGCAGTGGGGGAGCAGGGTGGGGCCGGCAGAAGGAGCGGCGGTGCGGGCCCAGCACGGCCGCCCCCGCCCAGGCAGGCACCACGCTGCGCAAACATGTGCTGCAAGCGAGTGGGGGCTCGCAACACGGGCCCCACCCAGCCGCCCGCCCACCTGGCAGAACATGCGGTACAGGGGCACCGCCGCATATGTTGCGCCGACCATGGCAACAGCTGCTGCCAGCTGCGGGGCATGGCAGGCAGGGGCGGGCACCATGAAAGCGTTGCCCAGGGCAGCTCTTTTTTTGTGCGACCCGCCACACACGGCAGCCAGCCGGCGCCCGTCCCATCCCGAGGCCTTGTGCCTCGCATGCCCCCATCCTCCACCCTCACTGCTCCACTCACAATGTACCACCGCTGCTCCGCATTCTTCTTGCTCACTCCCTCGTACAGCTCCTTGCGGCTGCGCGGCTTGCCGCTGAGCAGCCTCCGGCCCAGCAGGTCTGCGGCCTGGCGCTGCCACAGCCGCTGCTGGTGCTGCTGCTGCCGAAGCTGCTGTGTACACGCTGAGGGGAAGCTTCCGTCAGAGTGCAGCCAGCGGCGCAGGGCCGCCAGCTCCAGCTGCACTGCCGCAGGCGTCGCTGGCGGCGCCGCCGCCGCCACGGCGGTGGCACCCGCTGCAGACAACGCCGCGCGGCTGCGCGCCAAAAGCTTCAAGGACTCTCGGACGCCGCGCATTGCTGGCGAAAACCTCAGGTTTTGGCGCTGGCCCGCGAGGGGGAAACACAACGCCCAGCCTTTGGCGCCACCAGACTGGCCTGATGGTGTTCCTAATGCCTGCAGCGATCGGTTGAAATGCGGAGATTGAGGAGCACGGATTTGCATCGCGTGAGAAATGAGGACGGGGCGGGGAAGGCGCGGGGCAAGTCTTCGTTCCATGGCTGAAACCCTGGAAGCCATGGCTTTCAGATCGCAGAGGAGAAAGTGGGGGCAGCGTCCCTCCCCTCAGGTTTCAGGGCTGTCGGCACATGCCACAGGCATGTCGGTGACCGCAGCCGCCACCTGCACGACCGCTCCCCCAAATGCCCCAAATGCGTGATGCTGGAGCGATGCACTCGTGAGAAGGAGGGCAGTTGGAAGAGCCAGCTTTGGGATCTCCTGCCTGGGTCGGAGCCAGCAGGAGTCGGTAGGCACTGTGGAGGCCATCGACAGCTTCCGTCACGGCTTGGCGGCCGAAGTGCCCTGGCGTCACCCATCTTACATGCGAGGCACCACCCTGAGGGACTGGAACAAACCCCAGGAATGATCACGGCAATACCAGATAGCAGCAAAGGCAAGGGGCGAAGGGGAGATGAGGCTCATCACGGTGCTTGCGCCAGGCGATGGGCCGGGTCGGGGTGTTTGGCGGAGTGTGCTGGTGATGTACTTTGGTGTGGCATTGGCACCTACGATCCGTCGGGCCCGTAACCCGAAATAGCCCAAGGTCGCGAGTTCGATCCTCGTCGGAGGCACGTCTGCCTGCCTCTATGGCAGTGTTGGCACAACCTCTGTGGCGGTGTGTGGCACAGTCTGCCTGCCTCGGCAGTGTGTCTGCCTCTGTAGCTTAGTGGTAGAGCGTGGGCCTCGTACTGGGGTTTTGCTGAAATTTCTTTTGGCCTGCAGCAAAATCGCGAGTGCGATTGCTTCCCACCGCCGCCGCCGACAGCCCGCCGCCGACCGAGGGACAATACCGCCTCACAGCAGGACAGCGTGCTAGAGGTGCGTGAGTCCAACTTGGGACGGCTGTTTCTGCGCCACAATTATGTTTCAGAGGTTTTCCAGGTCAAACCTGCGCCACCCATTGTCCTAGCTGGCACAGCACGCAGCAGCATGCCTTTCTGAGCTCGGGTGAATACCCCATTCCTTTCCAATCTCTTTGCAGGTGTTACTGCAACCTCTCTCGCGATATGCCGGGTGCACGCTCACGGCTGCGGGGCCATGCTCATGGCCAGCCGCCCCCACACGTGGCCTGCGCCCGTTGTAGTAGCACCTACGACTCATCTCGGAGATCGGCGTCGCCCGCAGCTTCCAACGCGTGCTGCTGTAGCCGCCCAGGCGCCGGCGCCGCGGCGGCAGCCCCACCGCCTGCAACTCCTGCTGAGGAAGAGCACGAAGCAACAACATACTGGACTGCAGCTCAAAAGCAGTTTGCACTGGAAAATCTGACCACCTTCAAAGGGTCCCACAACCGTGCCAGGTGCCTCCGTTGAGCCAACGGTTCCGCAGCACCTCGGCCGCCCTGCTTCCTAGCCGTTGACAAGCCTGAAGCAGGCCTGGGCCCTCAGTCCCACTTTGTTTGGGCTGTACATTGGTGGCCTGGAGCTGATGGCGGCGTCACAGCGTGGCGAGCACCTCCTCAGCTTCCTCGGCAGCGGCGCCGAATCGGGGAGGTGCACCTGCAAGGCACAGGCCGTTGGGAAGCAAGGGCAAGGGCGGCCCGCGGCCAGAGCTAGGGAGGACATGTGCAGCAGATTGCACCTTGCAGCTCATTTGCAACTTCCAGGGCACCAACCTGATCCAGTATGGCTTTTTCGATGGCCTGCATTGTGTTGGTGCTCAGAAGGGTGGGATGCCCCTGCCCTGATGCGCTCCGATGCGCTCCTGTCGCAGGCGGCGTTGCAGTGCTGCTGCTTGCTCTTGCTTGTGTGGGCTTACAGTCTGGTTTCAGCAAAAACAAGCTTGAAACACAGGCTTTGTTGTTCCAAACAAATAAATCGGCAGGGAGGGATGAAGCAGTAGAACAACAAGCAAGACAGGCCAACTTACAGGACACCGTGCGTTTAGTGTGTGAGCGGGCGGACCATACTGCAGGTTGTGGAGCAAGTGTGGTGCGGTAAGAGCTAAGGGGTTGGACATGAAGGCGGGGATTCAGGGTGGGGGTCAAGGCAAGGGGGGGGTGGCGGCCTGCCAATGCTGGTGACGAGCATTGGCATGCTGGTGACAAGGCGGCAGCAAAGGCGGCGAGGCGGCACGGTTTTTGGCGGAGGAAGCGGTGAGGAGGCTGGGCTCAGCAAACAAATAGATCGGGGAAGTTGAGGCGCAGCGGGGCAAAAAGGGGGAGGTGAGCAGCAGCATGCACATGCACATGATGTGGGGGCATCTTCAATGCCGTTGTGGCAGTGGGGGCAGACTCGTTGCTCTCGGGGGCGCCGCGTCCAAGGGCCGCTCTCTTCCGCGCCCCAATGCGACTGGGTGCATAGCTGCGCCAACGCCTCACGGTCCTGCCGACGCATCCAAGTAGGTCATGCGCTGCTCAGACGTGGCGGACGCCAGTTAAGGGCGCCCACCACGTTGTGCACATAGTGCTCCAGCCGCCCTTCGCCAGCGCCTCATGGAGCTGCGCCAGCTGGTGGCGCTGCGCGGCGTCACCCAGCTCGCAGAGGTCAATAGGCGCTGGTTGCAGGTATAGCTGCCGACCGTTGCGAGGCCGGCCGCCAACTCGGCAGCCAAGGACTGCAATGCAGGTAGGTGGGCGCCGTTTGCGAGTTGCACACTTGACTTGAGCGCTTGTTGTAGCAGGCTGCCAAGCCGCTCATCGAGCGCCTTGTTCCAGAGTTTGGCTGCCCGTCGCAGCCAGCGCTGCCACAACGGCCACTCGCCGGACTCCGCCAGGAGGACTGCGTCAGGGGTCCCTGCCGTACTCCCAGGAGGTGGCGCAGGTAGCTGAGTTGCAGCTTCTCGGCCGTAATGCCGGCACTGCCGCGTTGGCAGCCCACCGCCTTGGCCGCCAGCTGCACGCCCCACACCTCAGCGCCATGAGACAACACCTAGTCCACCATGGTGCCGGAGAGCCATAGCTAGATGGGCGCCGCCTCGATGCCCAACTCTGCGCAGCGGGCCCGGTAGTTGTGCATTGCCAGGTGCGCTAGTTGTGCCCTGGCTGGTGCTGTTGCGCCCGCCAGGCAGGTGCGGGAGTGGAAGGCGATGCCGAGGTACTTGAAGCTGGTGATTGCCGCCAGCTGTTGGCCGGCGAAGGTGACACCCGCTGCCTCTTGCTGCCTGTTGCGGCACGTACTGGATCCGCCGCCCGCTGAGCAGCATGAGCTTGGTCTTGTCGATGTTGACGGTGAGGCCCCATTGCTGGCAGTACCGGTGGAGCAGGTCTAGTTGTCGTTGCAATCCCGCCGCTTTGTGACCAACAATACCGTGTCGTCGGCGTACAACGGTGGTGGGCACCGTGGTGCCGCCGCTGCCGAGGAAGCTGAGGAGGTGCTCGCCACGCTGTGACGCCGCCATCAGCTCCAGGCCACCAATGTACAGCCCAAACAAAGTGGGACTGAGGGCCCAGGCCTGCTTCAGGCTTGTCAACGGCTAGGAAGCAGGGCGGCCGAGGTGCTGCGGAACCGTTGGCTCAACGGAGGCACCTGGCACGGTTGTGGGACCCTTTGAAGGTGGTCAGATTTTCCAGTGCAAACTGCTTTTGAGCTGCAGTCCAGTATGTTGTTGCTTCGTGCTCTTCCTCAGCAGGAGTTGCAGGCGGTGGGGCTGCCGCCGCGGCGCCGGCGCCTGGGCGGCTACAGCAGCACGCGTTGGAAGCTGCGGGCGACGCCGATCTCCGAGATGAGTCGTAGGTGCTACTACAACGGGCGCAGGCCACGTGTGGGGGCGGCTGGCCATGAGCATGGCCCCGCAGCCGTGAGCGTGCACCCGGCATATCGCGAGAGAGGTTGCAGTAACACCTGCAAAGAGATTGGAAAGGAATGGGGTATTCACCCGAGCTCAGAAAGGCATGCTGCTGCGTGCTGTGCCAGCTAGGACAATGGGTGGCGCAGGTTTGACCTGGAAAACCTCTGAAACATAATTGTGGCGCAGAAACAGCCGTCCCAAGTTGGACTCACGCACCTCTAGCACGCTGTCCTGCTGTGAGGCGGTATTGTCCCTCGGTCGGCGGCGGGCTGTCGGCGGCGGCGGTGGGAAGCAATCGCACTCGCGATTTTGCTGCAGGCCAAAAGAAATTTCAGCAAAACCCCAGTACGAGGCCCACGCTCTACCACTAAGCTACAGAGGCAGACACACTGCCGAGGCAGGCAGACTATGCCACACACCGCCACAGAGGTTGTGCCAACACTGCCATAGAGGCAGGCAGACGTGCCTCCGACGAGGATCGAACTCGTGACCTTGGGCTATTTCGGGTTACGGGCCCGACGGATCGTAGGTGCAGAAATCGTTATTCTAATCAAACAGTATCGTAAAATAAAAAACTGCAGCAAGAGCGGGCGCGCTCTGTAATCTCAGTCAGTCAGGCGCGCTTGTGCGAGAGCGTCGTCGTTGGCCGCGACGTTAAATAAGGAGCTGGATGAGTGCCGGTGGGTGATACCACAGGCACGAGTTCGAACCCCAGCCGGGACACTAGCTGGGAATTTGCCTCACGGCACCTTCGTGGCGGCATCTGGGCGGCGGACGGCTGCCCGGCAGACCGGCATGGCGCTTGCAAGACGGAGCCTCCCCGGGATGCCATCGGCGGCCAGATTTTCCTCGCTCTGGACAGCCGGCAGGGTTAGCGGGTTCGGCCCCAGCACATTAATGTGCCCAATCCCTGTAACACACACACGCACACGCGCGCTTGTGTGTCCCCAGCCCTTTAAAGGGCCCGGTTCTCTGTAATCTCAGTCAGTCAGCGCGCTTTTCCTCGCTTTTCCGCTTTTCCGCGCTTGAACATGCCGTGCAGGGTTAGCAGGCTCGGCCCCAGCACATCATCCCCTGGCATCGCCCGTGGACCGCCAAGGGCTGCCGCGGTGCGGCGGCAACCAAAGTTTTCGAAACCCTTGCCGGGGCGGGGCACACCATGCAGCTTGTGTTGGCACCGCCCCCGGCAACTTCAACGGCTGGTAACGCGGCATGCCCGCGCGCCCGTCGCTTTTGGCGGTCATCGCCACACCCGCTTGCTGTGACAGCAGAACAGCTCCCCTGCCACCCCAATTCCCAATTCCCAACCCACAAATTTTACTTTTTCGAACGATCGAATCAATCACAGCGCGCCCGCGGATATTCAAACAGCCTGCAGATATTTTCATATCAGCAGACTGACTTTTCACCCACCTGTCACAGATTTTCCCTCGCCCGTTCGGTTTTTTTGCCGACAGCTGGCTAGCAGCCAGACTATATAAGGAGCCTCGATGCCCTGACAAGATCATCTTTTCTCTCCCTTTGTGCTGGAGTGCCCCTGTGTAATAACAGGCGCCCGCCGCCCCAGCCCCGCCCGAAGGAGAAGGATCCTGCCGCTGCGACCAGCGCTCGGCAGTCACCCCAGCGCTCTCACGAGGCTCCCCGCTCTCACACAAAGACAAAACAGGCCGGCCGGAACCTTCTGGACCCGCGCCGCCTTTTTGCACCACACTTGCCGCTTCTGCTGTGGTGCCCCGCTGCTACTCTTCTACTCCTGCCTGACAACCCTGACTGACGCGCGTAACTTTGTGACCACACGACGAATAAGGCGGAGAGAACAATCAGAGCTTCCAATGTGGGCCAGCGCACAGCGTGCCGCCAGCAGCAGTTGGCAGGATACTGCTGGCGTCGCCCAAAACTTTTATACGTTTCGGTTGTTCGCATCAAGAATACATTGCATCGCCAGAAGCTGGAACCGGCTGCAATGGCGTCAACGGAGGCGCAGGTACCTGGGAGGCGTGGCCCGTGTCGCGACGGGCTCGCCTGCACCGGCAATCTGTGGGCGTCCATTGCACCATCTAAGAAGCAACCTGAACCATAAACTTTTCGCGGGCTCAAATGGCGAAGCTACACGGCGCGGTCCTCTTGCTCGCGCTCCTGCCTGGCCTCGCGGCAGCTGTCTACTGCCCCAGTAAGCGAACCAGGGAGGATGATGTGCGGTTCTGGCCCGGGGGCGGGGTTCCGTTGGGCTTGCAAAATTGCCGCCGCACCCGCCGACGCCGCCGGTCAGCAGGGTTGGCATCATCCGTGTTGGCATCACCCGCATCACCTCTCCTCCAAGCCGCCCTTGGCCCCTCCCCCGCAGTGACCGTCCGGCGCGTGCGGCTGGCTGCCGGCGCATCACCGCGGGAGGGCCGGGTTGAGCTGTTGGCCGGGTGCGAGGGCAACAAGAGCGCAGAGTGGTACGGCAACCTGTGCCAGCTGGACGTGTGGTATCGCGACTCAGAGTATGCCGGCGTGAACCCAGACAACCTCGCCAGAGTGGTCTGTCGCGAGCTGGGCTTCGGCGGCGGCCTACAGAAACGGTTTCGCGTCGCGCGGCGCCGGCCGCAGCTGGCAGGCAAGGTGGTGTGCACAGGGGGGGAGGCCGCGGTGGCGGACTGCGCTGGGCCACCGGACGGGTATGGCAGACTATAGGCTGATAGGCCAGAGTACTGCTCGAAGCCCGAGGATGGGCAGTGGGAGGACATGGAGGAAGGATACGAAGTGGGCGCGGTGTGCAGAGGTGAGTTGGCGCGGCGCACCACGGCTCTTCGGGGGGGGATTGCATCGGCCCGCCGCGGCTGCCCGCCACAGCCTGGCTGCGGCCAGCCCAAGGCTCTTCACTCCCCGGCTCTGCTCTCACGCCATCCCTGCTCGGCCGCACCATGCATGCATGCAGGCGCGCTGCCCAAGCGGCTGCTCACCGGGGCACGCTTGGTGGGCGGTCCCAACCGCCGTGAGGGGCGCCTTGAAGTGCAGGTGGCCGGCACGTGGGGCAGCGTGTGCAACCGCAACATCTCAGATACGGCTACAGCCCACGTGGTGTGCCGATCGCTGGGCTTCAAGGGGGCGGCGGGGGCGCGCGGCGGGGCGTTCTACGGCGAGCGGGCGCCGGCGCCGGTGCTGGAGGTGCTACACTGCAACGGCAAGGAGCCAGGCCTACACGCCTGCACTGTGTCGCGATCCATCATGCCGGAGTACTGCAACCGTTCCTCCGACTTTGGCGTTTGGTGCCGCGGTGAGAGCGAGGGAGCGGAGCAAAGCCGAGATGCGTCAGTCCGCCCGCTTGCCCGCTCGCTCGCCCAGCTGTCTGCCTGCCCGGCAACAACTTGCATTTGCCTCATTTGCCCACCCTTGTGCCCTGCTCCCGTGCAGGCAGCCAGAAGCTTGCAGTCGACGGCGTGCGGCTTGTCAACGGTCTGACCATGCAGGATGGGCTGTTGGAGGTCAAGCTTGCTGGCGGCAAGTGGGGCACAGTGTGCGCCTACAACCCTCCTTTCGATGCCAAGAGGAACGTGTCGGCTGGCGCCGACAATGCGCGAGCTGTGGCCCGCGCCGTCTGCCGGTCCCTGGGCTACCAGGGCGGCACCCCGCAGGTCGGTCCGTGTATGCTGGCTTGCTTGCTTGTGTGGGCTTACAGTCTGGTTTCAGCAAGAACAAGCTTGCAGCACAGACTTTGTTGTTCGAGCAAGGAGGGATGAAGCAGTAGAACAACAGGCAGGACAGGCCAACTGACAGGTCACCGAGCGTTTAGTGTGTGAGCGGGCAGGCAGTACTGCATGTCGTGGAGCAGGTGTGGTGCGGTAAGAGCAAAGGGGGTGGACATGAGAGTGGGGGTTCAGGGCGGGACTGCAGGTAGCGCAACGGTGGCGGTCAGCCAGCGCTGGTGACAGGCGGCAGCAAAGGCGGCGAGGCGGCACGGTTTCTGGCGGAGGAAGCGGTGGGGAGGATGGGGCTCAGCAAACAGGTCAGGAAAGTTGAGGCGCAGCGGGGCGTAAAGGGGGCAGGTGAGCAGCATGTGGGGGGCATCTTCAATGCCGTCGTGGCAGTGGGGGCAGACTCGCTGCTCTCGGGGGCGCCGCGTCCAGCGGCCGGTCTCTTCCGCGCCCCAATGCGACCCGGTGCGCAGCTGCGCCAGCGCCTCGCGGTCCTGCCGACGCCGTACTGCATCCAGGTAGGTCTCGCGCTGCCCAAACATGGCGGGCGCCAGGTTGAGGGCGCCCACCACGTTGTGCACATAGTGCTCCAGCCGGCTGGCGCCGCCCTTCGCCAGCGCCTCCTGGAGCTGCGCCAGCTGGCAGCGCTGCGCAGCTTCCCCCAGCTCGCCGAGGTCAACAGGCGCTGGCTGCTGCAGGTCGCTGGGGAGGTCGAGCTGGGGAGGTCGAGCTGGGGAGGTCGAGCTGCTCGCCACGCCGCGCCGCCGCTATCAGCTCCTCCTCCAGGTCGTCGATGTAGAGGCCAAAGAGGGTGGGGCTGAGGGGGCAGCCCTGCTTCAGGCCTGTCACGGCCTGGAAGCAGGGCGACAGCCCGGCTGAGGTGCGCACCGACATGGGGACGTTGCTGTACAGCGCCTGCGCTGCCGCCAGCCAGGCTGTGTCCACACCGCGTGCCGCCAGCTTCTGCCAGAGCTGCTTGAAGTCGACGAAGCAGCCCCACAGCTGCTGGCCTCTCAGGCGGTGTTGGTCCTGGAGTGCGCGCAGCACGAGTGCTGCCTGCGCTGTGCCGCGCTGGCGCCTGAAGCCAAACTGCCCTGCTGCTCTGAAGTTGCTGGCCTCTGCCCAGTCTGAGATGCGCTGCTCCAGGATGGCGGCGTACAGCTTGGCGGCCATGGTGCCGATGGCAATGGGGCCCCGGCACGATCAGTCCAGCAGGGAAACGACATGTGGCCTGATCTCAGCCATGTCTGCATCGTTCTTCGCGTTTTAAGCTTCCTCTCCCACCTTATAGCATACGGAGAGTTGTTTGAGAGCAACAGCAGGCCCTGCGCCGGCCGGCTCGCGCCATCTCTTTCGCGGCATGGCGGCAGCCGCGGCCTTTTGGCAATGCAAGCGTGCCCACATGTTCATTAGCAGTGTAGACGACTCTGGCAGGGCGGCGCCGCGCTGCAACGGCTGCTGGCACAGGTCAGCAGCCTGCCATGTGCCGCTGCAGGGGCGGGGCGTCACACATGGCAGCGGTGCAATGGCTATGGGTGGGTGGCACGGAGACTTGTGGAAGGGCATCAGCAGCGCTTCAATGTGTTTATGAAGCGTAATAGAAGGCAAGAGGAGGCCCAGTGTGCATTCCATTCGGGGAAATGTGTGTGGAATGACGCGGCACTTTGGGGGGCGACGGCGCAGCGGCGCTCATGGCAGGCAGCCTCTACCAGGGCAGGTTGAGCGCCCTCTCTTGCTTCCAGGAGGTACCAAAGTTACTAATAATGGCAGTGAGGGGTCTGTGGGGAGGTAATCCCCAGGGAAACCAATGACACACTCCATGGCATGCGCCGCGAGTGCCCACACACGCCTCCCCGCCCGTGGGCGGCAATGAGCACCCCAAGACGCAACATTTGACCGCCATCAACCACCCCACTGCTTCCCTGACATCCTGTCAGCACCAATGGAACACTTGGGCCAACAAGAAAGGGGATTGTGGGGGTGCAGCTGGGTGAAGGCCAGGGTGGGGCGGCACGAGGGCGGCGGCGCCGGCTGGCCGTTGACAGCGGCCCCCCAGCCAAGCATCCTGCTACCGCCTGCGCCCCTCCTGCCGCCTCAGACGGCATCACTGATGTTCCCTGGGTCCGTATGAGGAAGCACCAGGCCTGTGGCAGCACTTGCACAGCAACTTGCCAGCATGGCCAGGAATGGCCACCACGGCCCCCACCACGCCACCACATGGACCGTGTGGAGGCCTTGCAGTGGCTAAACAGGTCCAATTGCAAGCCAGGAGGTGACTTGGGCGCAGCACGCGAGCCAGGCAGGGCGCGGGAGGGCTCCTGTCACCCAGCGTGACACCGTGACACCCCAGGCCCGTGGCTACCAGCCCAGGGATGTTCACTCAAAGCGTATGAATGCCCTGGCCGCCGCTTTGCTGGGGTGCCAGACATCATAACGAAGGGGTGGGGACTTGTTTGAGCGAGAACGCTGCAGAATTGAGGCATATAGACCCCATGTCACGCTCATATGTCGCTGTTTTGCAGGGCTAGTGCTGGCCTGATCGTGCCGGGGCCCAATGCCGCGCAGGCTGCTGCAGCTGGTGGGGTCGCCGCCGGGCTTGATGATGGGTGCGATGATGCTGAGCGCGTCAGGGGTGGCCAGCTGCCCCACCCGCCGCCATGCTGTGTAGACGGCGGCCAGCACGGGGGCCAGCTGCTCCGCTGCGGCCTTGAGGAACCACGGCGGCAGCTCACCGGCAACCGCCTTGCGCGGTTTGGCCTGGCTGGCGAAGGCTGCCACTTCTGCCGGTGTGATGGGGCTGCCCAGGCGGGCTGCCAGGGTGGTGACGTCTGGCTGGGTGGCCGCTGTGCTTGCGGCTTCGGACAGCGCGTGCGCCTCCTGGCCAGTTGGATTAAGGGGGGCAGGGGTGCTTCTTCGTGCTCCTTAGTGCATCCAACGCACACCACACTGAACAACCCCTCAGCTCATCCCCTGCAGGGCCCCATCTACGGCACGCCCAGCCTCAACAGCACCTCCGTCCACAATCTGGCCTGCTCAGGAACGGAGGCGGACCTCTCTGCCTGCTCCTTCACCAACACCAACGTATCATGTGTGAACGTGTGGGGGAGCTCCCCAGATGAGCAGCCATATCATTTCAGCGTTGCATGTAAAGGTGGGAAGCGGGTGGAAGGCTATGCTCTCCTTGTACAAGCACATGTGCTACCGCCGCGGAGCAACGGCTGCTCCGGCTGCCCTTACCAACCCTAGCTTGCCCCACCCCTTTTGCCCTCCAATCCACCCCTGTGCATTCAGATGCCAAGCCGCCCCTCCGGCTGGCCGGCGGCCGCTCATCGACTTCAGGGAGGGTAGAGATGTGGGTTGGGCGCAAGTGGCGGCCCATTTGCGAAGACAGAGCCCCATATGTGCAGGCTGTGGGAGTTGGCAAGGTGGTTTGCAGGTGGGTGGCAGGGCAGGGCAGGGCAGGGCAGGCAGTCGGCACACTGTTGCACGCACTTGCTGTTGGGGCCGGCATAGTCCTGCATGTTTCGGCCTGCTCCGCGCCACCCCGCCCCGCAACCCCTCAGCTCAGCATGCCCTCATTGCTGGCTTGGTGGGTGGCACGCCACCTCGGCACGGGTCAGCCTTGTATACATGTATACATGTATACACATATGTGCAAGTGCAAACTGCACTTGTGCCCGCCGTCCCGCCCTGCAGGCAGCTGGGGCTGCGCGGCGGCGCAGAGCGCTATAGAATGTATGCCAACTCGTCCATGCCTGCCGTGGCAACAGTCGCTTGCACCGGCAAGGAGAAGGCGTTGCTGGCTTGCTCCCTGAACCAGCCCACATCCGCAGATTCTGAAAGGGGCCTCTGCAAGACTCATCTGGCCGTTGCCTGTGCAGGTGAGAGCCCACAGACAGTGAACAACGCCCCCCAGCAGCCACTGCGCAGGCGGCGATTTATATGTGATCCTGCCCAGCTTGGCGTGCGTGCCCATTGCCGCAGGCGTTGCCGACAACATTGTCGATGTACGCCTGGAAAACGGCTCCACTCCTTATGAGGGCCGGCTGGAGGTGGGTGGTAAAGCACATGAATGGGCGGTGGGCGTGCACAGGGCAGGACAACTTGCCCTCACGCCAGACAGAATGAAAAATGCGCCCGTGGGCATGGGTTGAGAAACCGGATGAGATTGAAGGTTAAAGCCCCCCTCAGGCTACCGTGCTAGCAATGCTAGCAATGCTATAAGCCGGCTGAGAGCGGAGTGGTGCCCCCATAAGCGGCACATCGCTGCGCCTTTCCCTCCTTTGCTGGTGCACCTTCATCTTAGCCACCCTGTTCTCACCCCTCCTCCAGGTGAAGCTGAATGGCAAGTGGGGCGTTGCTCGCGAGTGGACAGACGACAGTCTGCCCATGGCTCGCCTCGTATGCCAAGAGTTGGGGCTCAAAGGCGGGGCACTCCGCTACGGCGACTACTACGGGTCCGGCGCGTTGCCTCCGCTCATCATGGGCCTGAACTGCACAGGGGCAAGGAAGCTGCGGGACTGCCCCTTCTCCGTTGTGGCCCCAATGGACCCAGTGGACCCGGTGGGGGTGGCCTGCAAGGGTGAGCGAGGCACGGCCTTGCTGGCAGCTGTTGGGAGGTGCAGGGCTGGCGAGATAGGGCGAGGACCGCTCAGCGCGGCATTCGCACTACATACCTTGCTGCCAGTCTGCACTCTAAGCATTGAGATTGAAAAAAACAACGCTTTCTCACCTGTAGGTTCCCAATCCATTGAGGAGGTTAGGTTGGCTGAGGGGCCGACAAGCAGGGAGGGGCGAGTCGAGGTGAAGATGCGCGGAAGGTGCGCAACAGGCAATGCAGGTAGCAGGGCGCTGCCGCGCCATGTCAGGGTGTACAGGGTATGCTGGGCGTGCTGGCGCGCCGAGTTGCTTCACCCACCCTGCTTTTGTCTTTCTAATGACAATGCTGGTTCTACGGTGGTAGACAGGAGCATATGCAGGTCTACCGTGCATGCCTGAGTAGTACGCATCCATTCATTCATTCAGCACACAGACCGGCCGCCTCTTGCTCGAGGGCGGCCCACTTTGGCCTGGGCAGCCCGGGCCGCCCTCCCCCCCCGGGCGCATGTTCGGTGTTGGAGGGGTGTGCCCAGCGATAGGGGGCCCCTGAAGGCATGCGCCGAGGCCGGGAAGCGTGGTTCGGCGCTGCTGCACGCTTGGCGATTTGAACAGAACCACGTGCCGCCGAGCTGCGGCCGCAGTTTCCGGCCCACGGTCTACGGTCGCAGCCACGGGACTCGGCGGCACGGCGTTTGGGCCCAAGCTTGCTGCCGCCGCCGCCGTGCCCGGGGGGCAGCGCGGCGGCGGCGGGGGCACGCTGCGACGCCCCCGTGCTGCCGAGTTGCGGCCGTAGTTTCCTGCCAGAAGCCCACGGCCACAGCCACGGGACTCGGCGGCACGGCGTTTCGGTCCACGGCTTGCTGCCGCCGCCGTCGCAGGGGTGCTGCCTGCGGCGGCGGCGGCACGGCGTTTGGGTCCACGGCTTGCTGCCGCTGCCGCCGCCGCAGGGGTGCTGCCTGCGGCGGCGGCGGTAGCGCACGTGGCAACCCCCCGCGTTTCCTTGCCTCCCATCCACCGGACCCCGTCCTGCGCTTCACTTTGTTTAGGGAGGGGCTGCTCACTCATTGCTCATTGCTCATCGCACACTGCTCAACGCTCATTGCCCTATATCCCACCCAGCCGCAGGACTCCACTGCCGCCCGCGCCCCGCCCCATCTGGCCGCTTGCGCGCCCCATCCCCCCTCGATGGGGCCCGCCCACACCGGGGCCTCCCCCCTCCCGCCCACTGCTTTCTCAACGGCCCCGAGCCGGGGCTGCCCTCATTGCATACATAGTGCGCCTTTCCCTGCTTTTCTAGTGACCTAGCGTTCCGCACTGCCGTTTGGCCAGCCCATGCTCCCGTACCGTTGCGTTTCTCCCCAATGCGCCATGCCACTTTGCCAGTCATACACACGTTTCGATGCGTGCCCTGTCAGCTGCTTGCGTTGCATGTCGCCTTGCTCCACCCCTGTTTTATTGCTTTCTCTGCTTTCGCCCGGTTCCCGTCCCGTTTCGGCGGGGAGTCTATGTTGCAAGCTAGTTCTTGCTTTACCAGACTTTAAGCCCACACAAGCACAAGCAAGCATGCCTGCCAGCCAGAAATATGGAGGAACACCATCAACGTGTTGGCCACAGCCCAACATGCACCCCGCCTCCCTGACCCCAGCCATCTCTGCCGCATGCAGGTGGGGAGCCATGCTCGTTTCAAACGACGACGAGGCCCCCGCCGTTGCCCAAGTTGTCTGCCGCGCGCTGGGCTATGGGGGCGGGATACCCCGCTTCAGCGGCTGGTACGGTGTGAATGGTACCGCCACCCCGCTGATATGGCTGCCCAAGTGCTTGGGCGGCGAAGCCAGCTTGGAAAAGTGCTCCTTCGCGCGGGCAGGCGACGAAGGGCCAAGGCCCGACACGCTTGGCGTGGCTTGCGCAGGTGAGCAGGCGGGCAGGTGAACGGCAGGGACCCGGCCGTCGGGCCGACAGAATGGCGGGCTGCGCCCCAGCTGCCCCGCCCCTGCAATCTCTCGCACTGCGTCAGCGTGCCCAACGCCGCAGCCGCCTGGCCCCGCGCCGCCCCTGCCTGGCGCTGCCTGCAGGATCCCGCACCCTCTCCGGCGTGCGCCTCACGAGTGGCGGCACGCCCACCGTGCGTGCGGGGCGACTGGAAGTTCGCGTTCCTGGACGCGGCTGGGGTGTGGTCTGCCGCAACTGGGATTCTTTTGGAGACAGGGAAGCCAACGTGACATGCCGCTCTCTTGGCTACCAGCACGGCGTGCGGCCGGAGTACAACACCAACCCCGACGGCGAGCCCGCCGCCCCGCCGCCCACCCGGCACGGCGGCGGCAAGCTGCCGGTGCTGGCCCTCAGTATTGAGTGCCCTCGGGGCAGCGAAGCTAACGTGGCGGGCTGCATTCTTGAAAGATCCCGCCCGGGTTACTGCTATGAGAAGGGCCACGTGGAGGTGGAGTGCTCTTGAGGCGCGAGGCGCGGTGGCTGGACCACTTGTAGGCTAGGCTGACTTTTTATCATATTTTCCCGCCCTTGTAATGTGGTGGGGATGCGGCCCATCAAGCGGCAGCGGGGGGCCAGCTTCGCAGCACCCCTGGCCCCCCTCTACGCGCCACGTAGCGGCGCCGCCGCCGGTGCAGCAAAATGGGTGCCTGAATCAACGGTGAGGGGAGAGAATTCAGTGGGAAGCACACATCGCACATAGGCTGGAAGAGGGAGGAGGGTGCAGGCAGGTACTGCTTTCCCACCGGCTGCCGCTGCTGCCGCCCACCCCCGCGACCGCCCCCTCCCCCCTGCGGCCATGGCGACCCTCCCATCCCTCCAGTCCCTCCGATTCGTCCTCCACCCATCGCTAGGCCTCCTCAAAGCCCCTACCTCGTCCCCTTGCTCCCGCCACCCTGTACTTCATCAGAAGGGTACTTCAGACGCCTTGAGTTTTAGCAGATCCATCGAGGCACCTTGCATGGCTGATTCTATACTGGGGCCGCCATGGCCAAATTGGTGAGGAAGCCCGGCCAGCCACGGCCGCTTCGCGCCGTCCTGCTCAGCGTCTTCGCCTTGGCGGTCGCTATGTTGTGCACGGCCCTGGCGTGGTCTTATCTTCGCGGCACGGCGCCCAGCTGCATACCCTCGCCGGGCGCCACGGCGGCGGGGGCGCCTGGCCGCGCCACAGCGGCAGGGGCACCTGGCCACACTGCGGCGGCAGGGACCAGCACAAAACAAGCACACCCGCAGCCTGTTGTCTTGCTGATGGTTGGGCGAACAGGGAGCAGCATCCTGACAGATGTTCTCAACCGGCACCCCTCCGTGTTGTTTGTGGGAGAGATGTACAACCATCCCAAGTTTTGGGTGCCCAAGCAGGACGTGGAGGGCTTCTACCTAAAAGGGCGCTACCGCCGAGTGTATGAGCGCTGGTTGCACAACCAGGTGCACCGTGACAGGGTGCCGCAGAAGCAGTACGATGCTCTGCGGTGGGTGGGGATGAAGGTCAACACCAGAACGGCCCAGTTTGCGCCCGGCACCCCACACTGGAAGGTGCTGGCAGGAATGCATCCCAAGGTCCTCTGCCTCCACCGCCGCAACGACGTCAAGGTAAGCTGTGGTGGCGGCTGGGGGCCCTTCTCCAAGCATTGTGCCTGCAAGCGGGAGACGTAACCGGGCTGTGCCTTGCGCCTGCAGGCTGTCATCTCTGAGCACCGAGCCCTGACTTTAGCCAGCCTGTGCAAGACCTATAGCCATGTGCCGGGCCACAACTGCACCATCCCCGCCAAATGGCGCATGGATGTGCCCACCTTCCGCGAGTCGCTGGCGGAGCGCTTGAACACGTCGAGGCGGCATCTGGACGTGTGCCGATATGCCGCGGCTCGACACACAACCCTCATGCTGGCGTATGAGGATATTCTTGATTTTGGCCTGGCCAGGACCGCAGACCGGCTGTTTGAGTTCCTTGGCCTAGCGCCGGAGGAGCGGGGAGAGTTGGTGGCGGGCATCCGCAGCGGCACCGAGCCGGTGGCATTTGAGAAGACGACACCCGACAACCTGCACAATTCATTAGAGAACATCGACGAGCTCATTCTTGCAGCGCGAGAAATGTATGCCGACGCAGCTGAACAGCTGTTCCAATGAGGGAGCCGCATCCAGCAGCACACGAAGGTGCGCTTCATGTAACTCCCTTTCTTTCTGACATTTATGAAAACTGAGTATATCCTGTTTTACACTTGCTACCTGTTCCTCAATCGTATTCTACAGTCCATTTTTGCTTAACTCCTGTGAAACACATCCGCCATATGTGAGCGCCACTCCTGCTGACACCCTGGCGGCGGGGCGGGGGCATGACCTGGCAGACTGTGCTTCACCTTCCGTGCCATAACAAATCCTTGCGACTCCTTGATCACGAGCTGAACAGTCTCCGCTGGGGGGTCTTTGCTTCACCTCATCACCCCAACACACCCGGCTCTTGGACTGAAGCGCGCTTTGCACGACACAAATCTGCAAAACGAGGGCTGCAGACAACTTTGTTCACCGCTTATCTGTGGGGGTTGCTTTGCTGGTCGAAGATGACCGACACGCTGCGCACGCCGCAGCCCTTCAGCTTGGCGGTGGCTGGGTGACATGGACGCCGCGGAAACAGAGGAGCCAGCCGGGGCACCGGCGACAACGGTCAGAGCTCCGCCGCCGCTGCTGCCGCCGCCGCTGCAACCGGGCAGACCAGACGGTTGCGCAGGCAGCCACTATGCGCCCAGCCCATTTGCCTCGTCCGGCGTGCCACAGCCGCACCAACAGCGGCAGCAGCAGGGGAAGGGAGAGCCAGGCCCTGCGGTGCCTGCAGCAGCAGGCACCCAAGCCCACCCAAGCGGCAGCAACGTGAGCAGTAGCGCCTGTGCTACAGCTGCCAGCTGCCTCGACGGCATGGCACATGGTAGTGATGCCGGCAGCCCCAGTGGGGCGCCCGCTCCAGCACCACAGCAGCGGCCACCCTCCCCCGCTGGCAGCCGTCCACCCTCGGCATGCTTGCGGCACAGCGGCGGCAGCGGCGGCGGCAGCGAGACGGCCTCGCTGCGCAGCGGCGGCGGAGAGGCGTCGGCGAGCGTGCGGGCCTCCATGCAGGCGGCCTGCCCCTCGGAGGCGGGCTCAACCAAGTCCAGCGTCACCCTGGAGTCAGTGATGAGCCAGGTAGGGCAGGCGCGGTCGGATGAGCAGGGCGGGTCCGGCTGCGCTTGGCGCCTGGCCCCAACGCATCTCGCCTGGTAGGAGCCTGCTCCGTTGCCCCACCCACCCACGCGCGCCACCACCACTGTTGCCCACCCCACCACGCGGTACCCCTGCGCTGCAGCTGTACCACGCCGCGCCGCGGAATGGTCCCAGCCAGTGCCGCGTGCTGCTGCCGGGGCTGGACCTGATGGAGCACGGCCTGCACCATTTGGACCTGCAGTCAGATGGTGGGGCGGGGGCTGGAGGGCGCAGGCAGCGGTGGCACGGTGCAGAGGGCTGAGCAGGAGTTTTGCGACAGCCCCGAACCAGAGCCCGGCGCGCATGTCGCCCTGGAGGCTGCCGCCGCTGCTGCGATCGCCTGGGTGGCACCAGTCGTTGCTGGTGGTTGCCCCGTGCCCCGCACCTCACCCTGCTCCTCCTGTGCCTGCCGGTGCGCCCCGCAGGCGGCGACTTGCCGGTGGTCAGCGCCCCGCGGGGCGTGGACCTGCGGGTGGCCATCAGCCAAGCCATCTCTCTGCACCTGGAGACCAGCAGCAGCTCGGTGCACGGCGCTGCGGCCGCGTACCAGCAGCCGCAGCAGCAGCAAGGGTCGCTGCCGGGGACCCCTGCCAGCCTGCCCTGCGGGCTCAGCTCTAGCGGCGGCACCCCGCTGGTGCCGGTCCGGCTTGGGCCATCCCCGCAGGCTGGCCTGGCAGCGGCAGACGAGCAGCAGCAGCAGCAGCAGCAGGGACAGGTTGGGGCGGGAGCACGGCATGCGCCCCTGCCGCCTGCTCCCCATGGCATGCGGTATGCACGTGCCAGCGGCGGCGGCTCTTCCCCTTCACTACCGGCAATATTGGAGCCGGGAGGGCCGAGTGCCCCCTTCAGCGGGCTGCTGCCCTCGCTGGAGCCGCCCGCAAGCAGTCGCGTGGCGGGGGCGGAGGAGGCAGCGGGCGCCGCCGCTGCGGAGCCGGCGGATGCTGCGCCAGGAGGAGGGGCGCAGGGGGAGCGGCCACGTGCCACAACCTGGGACCAGCTGGACCTGCTGCCAGGCGAGCCGCCGCCGGTGCGGCTGGCTGGGGGCCGCCCCTGGTCCTACGATGGCGCCGCCAGCACGGCCCTCCTCAGCTCGCCACGCGCGCTGCGCCCCTCGCCCATTGACATTGCCTACCGCGCCCGGGCAGCGGGTGCGGCCGCCGCCGACGTGGCTGTGGCGTGCTGGCTGGCTGCCTGTCGGGCTTCCCCTGCCAGTGCATGGTCTCGCTTGGCACCTTGCTGTGCAGCTCAGCAGCTGCTGCACCCCCCCCCCTCCTCCCTCTTCTGCAGCGCGCATGTGGCCCATGCTGGCACCCTTTGTGCCCCGCATGCTGCGGCGCTACATCCTGCGGTCCCACCCGCCGCCGGGCAGCAGCCTGGTTGGGGACGGCAGGTGCGGCGCCTGCAATTACCTTCCTCCATTTTCCACAAAGAGCCTTGCAGTGGCATGCAATTACCTTCCTGCAATTACCTCCTCCATTTTCCACAAAGAGCCTTGCAGTGGCATGCGCAGCTTGTGATGCCTGCCATGTGCTGCGCGCCTCGCCACCTACCCGCTGCCACCTGCCTGCGTGTGCGAGCCCCCTGCAGCCCTGTGCACGACAGCATAGGCAAGGCTCTCGCCTCAAAAGCGGCGGCGCCGCCTCAGAGTCTGAGCCGTGTGATGCGTCCCTGCATGGACACCTTCCCAGGTGAGGGGTGGGAGGCGGCACGGCACGCCTGCCACGCCACGAGGCACGCAAGCTTGCCGGTGTCACCCCACGCACATCGTGAGCATGAGCTCCCACGCGCACCAGTGTGCCTCCACTGCAGCTGCCGTGATGGTGGCCGATGTGAGCGGCTTCACGGCGCTGACGGAGACGCTGGGCGCCAAGGGCAGCGCGGGGGTGGAGCTGCTCACCAAGTGCATGAACAGATACTTCACGCAGGTGGGCACCTCCTGAAAGCCCCTCCCTCGAATGCCCGTTGGGGTGCCTGGGTGCCCTGGCGCCGGTGGTGCATGCCAATGCATGTATGTTGCCCCTGCATGTGCCTGCTCTGCCCCCACCCAGTCACCACACGCCTGCTGCATGCCCTTGCCACCCGCCCCCCCCTGCTCAGGTGATCGACCTGCTGCTGCTGTACGGCGGCGACGTGGAGAAGTTTGCCGGGGACTGCATGATTGTGGTGTTTGTGCCCACGCTGGCGGAGGTGGCGGGTGAGTGCCCCACCGGCGGGGCTGCTCAGAGCGGGGCGCACAAACCACGAGGTGCATGGCACTCGGTGCCACGCCCTTCAGCCAAGTGCTGTGCTCTCCTCTCCTCCCGTGCCGCCTCCATTGCCGCCACCGCTCTGCTTCTCGGGCTGGCTGCAGGGTCGGACGATGGCGGCCTGGCGGCGGCCACCCTGCGTGCCGTGACGTGCGGCGCAGAGCTGACCGAACGTTTCGGTGCGCAGCTGGCATCCCTGCGCCCTCCCGGCTGCCAGCACCAGAGAATTGTGGGGAGCCGACTGCATGCCCAGATGCCAATAACTTCACGAGCTTCACGCTGCCCCATGCCGTGCAGGCGCCATGCGCATGCTCCCAAACGGCGAGGTCGTCGCCATCCCCGCCGCGGAGCGCTGGGCGGCGGAGGATGATGCGTACAGGCAGGCGGCGGCTGATGCTGGGACCCCGACGGGCGAAGGGCAGGGGCGCCTGCACCAGCACTTTGACACAATCAAGGTGCGACCATGGGCGGAGTTGCTTGGCCGACTGGTCGGGCTGCTGACTGGGCTTGGATGCTGGCTGGTAGCCCCCCGCTGCAGCGATACATGCTGGAAACTGTGCCTGCCACCCTGCCGCCGCCGCAGGACATGATAGGGGCGGCTCCCAACCTGCTGGCGCGCCCCACCGGCAGGGCGCTGTCTGTGGCGCACGGCAGCGCGAGAGTGGCAGCCCATGCTGCCGGCAGTGGGGCGCGCATGGCGAGCATGGCGGCCGGCAGCAGCGCCAAGGCGGCTGCGTCGGCGCTGGGGAAGGCTGCGGCTGCCCCGCAGCGCCGGCTGCGCAGCGCCAGCGCCAGCATCGTGCAGCGCGCCTCGGGCAAGGCCCCAGCCAGCGCATTTGCTGTGCTGGCTGCTGTCGGTAGCCTCGATGCCAGCCCAGACATCAGCCGCAGCAGCAGCATGGGCAGCGGGCTGCTGCGCTGCAACTCCTCCCCCGACGGCCGCTTGCTGGCAGAGGCAGCCGGCGCCCTGGCAGCCGGCGAGGGCAAGGCGGTTGCGGCACCTGAGCCGCTGCCGCAGTCGCCGCTCTCACCGGTCCGCGCCATTGTGCGGCAGGGCAGAAACCTTGCGTCTGCGGTGATGAGCCGGCTGTCGCGCAGCTCATCGCCCGGCGTCCTGCCAGGCCGCAGCCTGCAGCAGGCCGGACACCAGGGCAGCGGCGGGGCGCCAGCGGCAGAGGGGCAGGAGGGGATGATGGGGCCAGAGGCATCGGCCGGCACATCTGGCAGCGGCGGGGATGCGGCAGCGGGCGCAGCCAGGGATGCGTCGGATGAGCGCTTGCAGCGCGAGCGCCGGCTGCATGAGCAGGCGCTGGCAGAGCTGGTGGTGCTGGCAGGACCTGCTTCGGCGCTTCGGCCGCCCGAGCTGCCATCCGCTGCCGGCACTGCTGAGGCGGCAGAGCAGCGGTACCAGGAGCAGCTGGCGCAGTACCGGCGCACCTCGCTGCCCCACGCTCGCCTGGCAAAGACAGCGGGCATCAGCACCGGCCTGCGCCCCGTGAGCCGCACTTCCACAGCCCCACCCGATGTGGGGGATCTGCTGAGCAGCATCGCAGCGGAGCATCAGCGCCAGATGGTTCAGCAGGCAGACCCACCACCGCATCCCACCCAGCGCGCCGGCGGCCCAGGTGCGTGGCAGCAGCCTGGGGGAGGCTGCATGCACGACTGGTTGGTGATCTTCCATTGCATCCGCTGCGTTGATTTGACATTGGCCGCTGCCTCATGCTACAACACCTGGATCTGAACCTGGCTGCCGTGCATGCCTTGTAGCAGGTGCCCTCACTGCTGCACGCGGCAGCAGCAGCGGGTCGGGGGAGCAAGCCCCGGTCAGGTCTGTGGCTGGCAGCCCTAGCAAGCCTGCCCAGGGCATGCAGCAGCTAGCGTCTGTGCCCTCGGGCTCGGCGCTGGAGCTGGAGAAGCATGCCGAGCATGCCAGCGATGTGGCGGCAGCCATGGGCAGTAGCCAGGACCTGGAGCCCTTCACCTCGGCCACCTCTGCAGCTGCCACGCAGCTGCTGCTGAATGACAGCGCTCACCAGGGAGGCCCCGGCGACTGGGGCACGGCGGCGGCGCCAAGCAACCGCTCGGCGGCTTGGACCACCCAGCTCAAGCGCCGCCCGTCCGTCGTGCGCAGGCTGCTGAGCGCCGCGGCCGGGCCCTGGCGGGGGCGCAGCGTGAGCAGCTCGCCCGATGCGCAGCACGTGGCGCAGGCCGGCGACGCCAGCGTGGCAGACTGCCAGGACAGCAGCATGAGCGGGGCCAGCCTCGCGCCGTGGTCCGCCAGCCTGGCTGAGCTGTCCAGTGAGTGGCGCAGCGCACCCCACAGCTTGGCCTCTGCCTGCCTGCCTGCCTGCCCGCATCGCTCCCGAGATGTGCTCTGTGTTGAGGAGGTGGTCAGCAGCTTGCGCTGCTGTGCGTCCTCCACCCACCTGCAGCTCGTGCCCCGCCTCCTGTGTTCTGTGCTGCAGATGGCCTGGGCCTGCCCGGCACCATTTCTCCCTCGTCATGCAGCCCCCCCAGCGTCAGTCGGTTTGGGGGGCACGGCCAGGACATGCATCGAAGCCTGGACCTGCGGCGCAGCTACGATTCGCGGCACAGCCACGGCAGCCGTGACTGGCGGCGCTCCTATGGTGGCGCGGCATCTGGCGTCGCGCCCACCGCAGCGGCAGCGCTGCTGCAGGGCAGCACGTATGCGCATGTCCCGCCGCCAGCCAGTGCAGGCGATGCCTGGGCAGGCGCCACCTTGCCACAAGCATACATTCCATCTGCCTTGGTTCAGGCAGACGTGCGCAGCGGCGAAGGTGGCGGCGGGCAGCAGCCGGCCCAGGGGCCCGCCATGCAGCAGCAGGTGCTGCTGTCCCTGAAGGTCATGGTGGCGGCCGGCACCGCGTGCGCGTTCCACGTGGGAGGCGGCCAGGACTCCGCCTTTGAAGACGTGCCCGGCCTGCCGGTAGGGCATATCGCGGGCATGCATGGCTGCTGGGCTGGCTGGGGCTGCACATGTGCCATGTGCCTTGCTGAGCCTGCGCTCTTGCCACGTGCATGGCGCCACTCCCATGCCTGCTGCGCTCCCGAACGAGGTGCGCGCTTCGCCCGCCCGCCTGCCTTCCCACCCCGGTCCCGCAGCGGTGGGAGTTCTTCATCGGCGATCCGCCGCAGCCAGCAGAAGACGACGGCGACCCGCAGCGGCCGCGCCCTCCCATCTGGCAGCTGCGCACCGCTGAGCAGTATGCCATCTCAGGTGCGCGCCGTGGTGGCGGCCAGCCGGTCGGCCTGGGCTTGGCATGCGCTGCTTGCGCTGTCCCCCTGCATGCCTCTCGCCGTGCGTGATCCCATCCATCCACCACCACCATTTGAGGTGTGCTGTGCTGCGGTGTGGTGTGTGTAGGCGAGGTGGTGCTGTCGCCGGAGGTCGTGGACCTGGTGGGGGGCAGCTGCCTGCTGGAGCCGCTGGGCGACGGCAACGCGTGCCTGCTCCAGCTGCTGGACGCCTACCAGCTGCCGCCAGAGGCGCGCTGCCGCGCTGCGCCTTGTGATGCACTGGCGCTGCTTGCCTCCTCGGTGTCGCACCGCTCGATCCCGCCGTGGCCTGGGTGCGCCGCTTGCCGAGAGGCGTGCTGCCGCTGGCTGCAGGTGCAGGAGGAGGCGGACAGCGGCACGTCCCTGGAGCAGGCGGCCAAGCAGATTGCGCGGGAGCGGGCCGCGCTGGCGGCGCTGCCAGAGGTGGCGCAGGGCCATGCGCTGCAGGTGCGGCAGCGCCATCCACTCATCTCAGCCTCTCCTGCTGGCGCTGTTGTTCCTTGCCTCGCACCACCACCGAGCCCCGCCGATCTCCTCCTGCCTGCCATCCTTGCGCATTGCCGTGTGCCACCCACCACCACACACACACACACACGTGTGCACCCACCCACATGCCCCGCAGCTGATGCGCATGCACCTGCTGGAGAATGTGCGCATCCGGGTGGAGGCAGGCCACATCGACTATGTGAATGAGCTCAGGTGGGGGCAGGGGTGGTGGGGGGGTGGGGGGGGGCCGGCGGTGCGGAGGGGTGGCAGGGGGGAGGGGATGGGGGGCGCTCGGGGGGGGTGGGAGGGAAGGAAGGCGAGCGCCGGCGGGGGAGGCTGGGGTGAGTGGAGGGCGCCGCCGAGCCTGCCGTGCGT